CATTTGACGTTGTACGGAAATCTAATTTCCTGACCGAACAATTTCAGGTAAAACCTATTAAAACTAAATATGTCTATTGTTGTTAACAATTATCTTGTTTTTGAATAAAAATAATTCTGAACTCTAGAACTATCTAAAAATACGTATTACTACTTTAATATTTGTCGCAAACCCTAGCCCAAAATTAATAAAACTAAATTTCGCAAAAAATGGGTTTTAAATTATTTATAACAATGTCTTTGTTATATTTGTTTTGCAGAGAAGTGCATTGTTGGGTATGTAATTTTAATAAATAAAATTAATAACAGTCTTATATTTGTGACTAAATTTTAGTTTAAGTAATAAACTCTCATTATTAACTCAAATATGTATTTCCAAAAGTAAGTAATAAATTTTTATTTTAATTACTGACTTATATTTTAATAAATAAAAATATAGGTCGGTTTAATTATAGTTTTTATACTTTAGATTAAAATAATACTCAATCAATATAATTATTTTCTAACATAAATATTTTTTTTAATTTTAATTTTCAGACAAATTACAGGTTCAACTTTCTCTCAGCCAAAAATGACTTCACAGACAATTCCTTTGCAATTATTCACAAATTCGAAGTAAAAAAGCTAAATCGAACATACAGCTACATAAATTTGAATTACACAAATGTCCAAACATTCCATAATTGTTCGGTACGTAAAACGATATTTTTGAAAAAATGAATTTTATCATATATATATATATATATATATATATATATATATATATATATATATATACTTTTTTATAAAATGCACATCAAAAACCAAGATTTTATGAAAGATTAAAGTAATTTATTTTACTAATTGGATTATTCAAATAATTCAATTGCTTTTATTTATTAAATTTACTTAGGTATTAACCTTTGTTCCAATTTATTACTAGGCTACAGGTGCCCTTCTCAAGTACACAAATAACATGTACAAAGAATGGATACCAGATACAAGGGTGGACCTTTGCACTTTTATTGGCAATAAGGGTCAAAATGGAGGCAAAAATTCATTGAGTGAAGCTTTTCTTGCCAAAATTAGACAACCTCTCATAGATATATTACTGGGGCCTGGACAAAAGTTTCCTTCGTCCTGCCCTGTTCAAGCGGTGAGAAAAAATAATAATAAATGAAGTGTGAATTAAAAATGTAGCTTTGTAAAAATCAAAAATGAATTTCTTGCATATCTATACGTTTCAGAGGTTTCTGAATATTTTGGCATACCTTAGAAAAAATTGATGTATGTATGTGTGTATAAGTGTGTGTATTATTTATTTCAATCCTACAAATCAAATGACAATTCTAGGTCAGTGCCAGGACTTGAGCCGAGTATCTCCGGCGTGTGCGTCGGGCAAGCAACTCACTGAGCTATGCCCGACACGATTTAAGCATAATATTAATGCAAAAACGTTCCTGTAATTTTGAATCATAGGTTTAAAATGTCCAATATGTTCTTAATACTTATAACTTACACAGTTTTCAATTTATTTCCAAATATCCCTTGTTCATTTCGTACATTCTCTATAGTTCTTTTTTTAAAAAAAAACACATATTTATCAATAGCGTTTTAGTGTAAAATTGAACCAAAATCCAAATCACTATAAATACTTGCAAATTATAACACAGCTCTATGGTTTAATTAGTTACAATATCAAACACATGTAGCGCTAATGATCTTATTATTGGTTAATTACGAATGTCTAATTTTGCACGGGATGATTATAAGTTAATAAGAGTCAAGAATGACAGACGATGTAAGGAACTAACACTATAATGCATTATTCACTGAATTTCACTAAATAATTATATTAACCCTTTCGACTCGGATTCAAAAATTCATATAAATCTCGGAATTCGCGAGTGGAAAAGGTTAATAAGTAGAAAAAGTGTAGAAGTTATTCCAGTAGATTAGATGTGATGTATATGTAAACCGGCAGAGTGTTTGTTGATTTATATTTCAATTTGATTAAATATTTGCTATAATTTAATATTATCTAATACCTAATACGATTGTGATAGCAAATTTAGTTTTAAATACCCGATTACTAAAATTCAATAATTTTTATTTCAAATTTTGCGCCATTAATTTGAATGCCAAAAGCAGCGCCCTCACGCCTGAGTGTAGGACCCTTTAACTATCCCTTTTGAAGGTAAAAATCGAAAACGAGAAACGTCCATATGAAGATAACATATTTTTTAATATTCTCTAGGGTTAATTACTTCATATTTATTATTTAAGAAACAGGCAATTATAAATTATATATTTCTTTTTTTTTTCAGGATAATTACTATCTGAAAGCTCACGTAAATGAGGATGCTTTTCCTGGTTTTCTTTTCCCGGCAGGAAAATGGAAATTTACTTTGAGTATAGCAGCAAATGGAAAACGTGCATTTACCAAAGGCAACGTCGTTTTCGAAATAATACATTTCGTGTCCGAAACTCAAAAGAAAAGAGGCTAATTTATATAAAAAATATAAATTTACTCCTTTTTCAGTATCGAGTAGAAATTTTTGAAAAAATATCAGTTTTGTAGAATGACTAGATAATTTTCATGTAATATTGACACTTGGAATGTATACAAGTTATTTGAAATAAAAATGTCTTTATGAATTTTTTGAAATGCGCCTCTGATGATTGAAATCTAAATATACAACTATATTTATATATGGATTATTATCGTTGCATGCGTGCATACGACTATATATATGCATATCTATCCTAAGCGATATATAAATATATATATATATATATATATATATATATATATATATACCATTGTATATCAATGTATATTTATATTTATATATTGTTGTTTCGGGGCCATTGACATAAGTGCTGGGAGCAATCACAAGAACAAACTGTTTCTTATCACATTTGAACTCTCTACCCTGTACCACGCACACTTCAATTCAAATGACACAGATTTCGAGCAGTTATTAACAAGAAACTACATATACTTAATTATAATAAATCGACTAGTTGAAAAAAAATGAAACACCCACATCCACATCCCATTCAATGCACAGATAAACTAGTGGTGTATGACATCGTGCTTATTAAGGCAAATTGCTGAAGCTTCCCGTACCTATTATTATATATAATTACATCATTAAAATCTCCATAAAATATCTGATAATTTGATGTGCATATGTTTTATGATAATTTTTGACCGCCAAATGGCACTTTTTTTTACTAGATCTCCGAAACCCCTAAATCTGCTTTCCTAAAAATATAATCAGTTCTTCAACTTGTTAATACAAGTGAAATGTTTTTTGAATTATTAAAATCGGACGACTCGTTCTCCTAAAAACTAAGTTACCGTTTTTAGCACTTTTTGCCTCGTATCTCCGAAACGGATAGACCTGCTTTTCCCAAAAACTTATCAGCACGTCTGCTTATCAATAGGAATCGAATGTTTGACGACGATGTTTATACATGTTCACGTGAAAAGTGAATAAACAAAACCTAATCAAGAGTTAGGATGAAGAACCTTATCTCATATTTCTAAGAGGTATATGAACTGAAATGCAAAGTTAAAATTGTTTAACTCAAGTATATAAGAGAGATAGAATTAAAATTAAAATCATAATTACTTTCGATATTCAAAAAAAAATTTCTAAATTAAAAAAAATTGAAAAAAAAAATTGCTTTCTCCAAAAACAATCGTTTAGTCTTAGTCAATACAAGCAGATTTTTTTGAATAATTCAAATCGGATACTTAGTCTCTCAAAAACTGCCATTTTTTGCACATTTAGCCCCGTATCTCCGAAACGACTAGACCTGCCTTTGCGAAAAATTATTCACATCATTACGATTTGAATCATCCAAATCGGATGCTCCGTTCTCTCAAATTCTCAAAAACTAACCAGCCGTTGCCCAAAACTAACCAGCACAATCCCCTATCAATAGCAATCGAATGTTTTTTGAGCTATTCAAATCAGTTGATCCGTGCGCCCAAAAACGTGGACGAAAAATGTGAACACATAAAACACACACACACATACATTTTTTCTGAGGTATGCCAAAATGTTCACCTGACGGCCACACAGAAACCTCTGTTCAGAAAACGTAAAGATATGGAAAAATTTTCATTTTCGATTTTCGTCGAAAAATCGGATTTCTGGTAAAAATAAATCTTACTTTTCGGATTGTTTTTTTATTTTGAAAAAGGACCTACAATTTTCTACCACTGATTTTAGTGTTGGTAAGTATAAATGTGTGAACATATACATAAATATCAAAATAGGCGTGAAGGCTTGTGCGTACACAGAATCGAATCCAAAAGGATACGAAAGGATGTACTGATCAAAAACAAACTAGTGGGGCATGGCATTGTAAGTATAATGTAAAAATTTTAAATTTTTTGAAAATTAAAAAAAATAGATTTTGAGAATTTTGAAATTTCTGAAAAATGTTTTTTGTTTTAATTTTGTTTTTTTTTTAATTTTTATTTTTTTTATATATTGTGAAATATCGAACTGCATCCCAGTCAAACAAATGACTTTTTTTCATTTTTCGTTAGATCTCCAAAACAATTAGACATGCTTTCCCAAAAATTACGTCACTTCGTTTAGTCAATACAAGTAAAATGGTTTTTCAATCATTCAAATCGGTTGATCTTGAAATCGTTGACCAAAAATTGTATTCACACATACTTATATACACACATACATTCATATTCTAATGTGTGCGAAAATATTCAAAAATCTTTGAAGCATAAAGATATGCAAAAATATTCATTTTCGATTTTTTGGCGATTACTATAACTTACCTTAGGGTAAGTTATTTATATTATTAAAGTAGAAAGTATTGTAAATACAAAATCTGTGTTTCAGAAATAAATAAATATAAAATTTTAATTCCTTCCTTAATTATCGTTTACATTTCCCCCTAATTCGGCCCTGTTATTTAAAACAAACATATGATGAACTATTCCACAAGATGTGGATCTAAGCTCAACATCCAGCTTGGAAATCGAATTGTAGTAGTGCGTCTCCGTCAATGAGTTTTGTGCTTTTATTTTTTAAAAATTTCAACAAAAATTTCATAAAAATTTAACAAGAAATTTCAAAAAATATAACAAAATTTGAAAAGTTCAAAATTGTGTCTAACTTCCGCTCGGAATAGAGGAATTTAAGGATGTTTTTGCCTCAGTTATTTTTGGTGCTTGTATTTATTACTCTGGATGGTAAGTGAAAATAAAATGTTAGAGAAAAATAATTAAGTAGCTAACTGTATTGACGAGTATATACGTCATGGAGGATGGATATACTCGTCATGCATATAAATCAAATTTAAGTGGCATTTTACCTTAAGGAAAGTTGCACGATCCGAAGTAATAATTTGACCTAAGTATTGAGATTGTTTAAATCAAAGTTTTAACCGTTAATTTATTTTTATTGGTTTATTTTCTCTTTGAACAATGTCTTTAAAGTTTTTGTGTTTTTTTCCTGATCTGGTAAGATTTGATATTTTTATTTATGGTATCTTCTAGTAATCTCGTAATTTTTATACTTTATAAAATATTTTTTTCCAAAAATCCTTAAAGCCCCTTAAAAGATTTCTCTAAATTCTTCTAACAGGAAAAGAAATGTATACAAGATCAAGTTCATTTCCATATCACTTTTTAATAGGAGAGTAATGACCAAATAATGTTTACGAGATTAAAACATTTTATCGTTTACTCGTAATTTTAGTCTTATCTTGAATTGAAAGCTATTTCCAATATAATTGAATGAATACTTTGTAGAAAACAAAATATTATTACGCGATAATAGAGTATTTTTCTCAAAAAGTTATTTTAATTTTTAATTATCCAGCGATGAGTAAAACTTGATATCAAGTAGTAGTAAAATCACTTGAACATAAAGATCACAAAAATCATCATTAGAAAAAAGAAATCATTAGAAAAGGTTGTCTACCAATAGTCACTATTATAATAATTACAACTAAAAATTTTTGATAGTTTTTCAAAACCATTAAATACATTTCTTCACTTTCGAGAAGGAAGTGATGTTTTTGCTAGAAAATTCAAATCGTTAATTTTATGATTCTTCGACGTTTCGAGTCATTCTGAATTGTTTAGATTTTGAAAAAGTAGGTGTGTGTGTTTGACCCAAAGTTTGACCTTCGTCGACATTTTTCCAAAATCGCAAAATCACCGATTTCAAAAATCATACTTAATAAATTTTACAAGCAATTGTTCATCATATCATTATAGTACTAGATGAATCTAAATTTAGAACACCAATGCCTATCATAAATAATATAATTAAAATGCAAATAAAGCCTTGAATAAAGTGCATAGATAAACGGTTCAAAAGATTATATAAATTATTACGAATAAACTATTTTGACCCTGCTGCGTAATTAAATAGTAATATTAGTAAGACAGCATTTCTTTTTACTTCCTTAATAAGACAAAAAATCTCTTAATTATTAAAAAATTAGTAAAAAAAAATGCATCGAGCATTAAATTACCTTTCGGTAGTAATGAGAACAAATGTTCAGAAACCTCTGAAATGTGAAGATATGCAAAAACTTTCATTTACGATTTTCGGCCCATTATTATAACTTACCCTGCGGGAAGTTAAAAAATAGCAGAGCAACCTTTGGATTGCCTTCTAATAACACACATTTCCACAAAATTGAGAGAATTTAAAAAAATGACTAAAATCTCTGATCTAGTAATTCTTCTACATGATTTAAAATTTTATAATTTATGTCGTTACCCTTAAAACCTTAAATGATTATTGAATGATCACTTAAATGATCTTTCCAATTTTTTTAAAAAAATCTACGAAATATGACGAGGGGAAGGGAGGGGTACAGTAAGATATCACGTGTATTTATTTTTTACCTGTTTTTTTAATATCCAAACATTTTCAAAAAAATTCAAAAATTTTACAATTTTTTCTCGTAAAATACACGTAATGTTTGGTGGGGGAGGAGAGGTAATTTTGAATATTACAAGGTATCACTAAGAGAGAGGGAAGGTCCAAAAATTCTCAAAAAATTGATCACGTGATTAATGGACGCCCCCTCAACGTAAAAACTCCATTGAAAACATATGATGCACACCCACTAAAGACAACTTTTTTTATTTTGGACTTTTTTATATTAACCCCTTTTTTTTATATATTTTTTTTTTTTATTTTTATTCTGCAATCTATAAAAATAATTATATTTAGCAGAGAATGCTGACAAGTGTTTACAATTGGTTGTTTACAAATTAGTACATACGCCCAGTGGTGTATCTACTACAGTTAATATATAAAAAAGAAAAAACTAAAGACAAATATAGAGAAAAAAAATATATATAAAAATAAACTATAATAAATCTCGAGGTATTTTCCTTTTGAGCCTGGTCGGCTGGCCTTCCTGGTATAAGTTGCATGCTAGTTGGTTTGGATGTGCGTCAATTCTATTCTTATAATATTAACCCCTTAACTTACGATTTACGAAAGTCGAGCCAAAGTTGTTGAAGCTGGCGCGGCGTTTGTGACTATTTTCCCTTATGGCGTACGGTTTATCACAAAAAATGAGAATAATTTTGTGTTTTATAGTTTGGTATGAATAAATATTTTGTAATACTTGCGTTCACTATACCCGGGCATGCCTGAAATGCGTAATATAATATTTGCTTCTGGCCCGAATATCGTACGCGGGCTATGCCCGTAAAATTCACTTTTGGCCTAGCAATCGCACGCGGGCTTTGCTCGACATTTTAAGTTAAGGGGTTAAAATATTCAAATATAAATTCTTTCGTAAATATCAATATTGCATTCTAAAGTTATATCCAATTCTATCTGGATCTAATTTCTCAATTACAAAAATAATAATTATTTATTTGCTTCAGGTGTAGAATTATCGAGGCCTCAACAATGCGAGATGGACAACGGTTGTCGAATTCAGGCGGGAAGGTGCTACTGTGACTACGGTTGCAAGTCAGACTATCCCTATTCATCCTACAGGGATTGCCAAAAGGCCCTTAAAGGTAAATATCATTACTGTAAAGTAATTGAAGATCTTGAGGATCAAAAATAACGATTGTCAAAGGCCAAAAATAGGAATTTTAGGCCAAAAATAGAAGATTCAAAACCCGGCTCTCAATGTATGAATAACACTTAAAAAAAATTAAATAGACAAATTATGCCAAATGTAGCAGTATCTAGAGAATTGACTGTTAAATGAGTAAAAAAGTATTCAGTTCATTTTATTGTCATACAAATACATTTTCTGGTACCACTTTTATATAACTGTGGTCAAATTTACAGAAAAGGATTCTTCAAAGCCAAATTAAATATACAAAATATACAATATACTGTTCTATCTAGAAAAATAAAAAGAGCGCTAAACGATACAGCGTTAAGCGGGGTATTCCCGTACTAGTTGAAAGTGGCAAGTTGCATGAATTTGCCGAAGCGTGTAATAGTTTACTTAATCAACCGAGATTGAGATTTAGAAATTTTGATTTAGATAAAAATTTCCATGATAAAATCATGGCATATACATACGTAGGTCTCTGTTATTATTTAATGATTTAAATTAATGCTAACATTTTTACACAACTAGAGAAGTTTTGTAGACTTATTGTTCCGCGGATTCAAAAAAAAAATGGTTTTTAAATTTGTGAAATTTAAATTTTGACTCTCTAACTAAAATCTGTCCACACAGACATACTTTTTCCAAATTTGTTCTCATTCAATTCAGAATGGCTTGAAACGTCGAGAAAACAAAAAAATAGCGAATCGGATTTTTGGGCGAAAACATAAACTACTCCTTCAGGAAGTTTAAAACATATACAAGTGTTCTTGTAATTTTCATCTTATCAATTTTTTTTTAAATAGGACGACGAAGCGACATATGCAGCAGGACGCAACCTTGTCGTAATTCAGGATCCTGCATACAAATATCCTTGGATCCTGGATACAAATGTCGATGTGATGGCACTGGATATTACGGAACGCATTGCGAAAGAGGTATTTTTAAAAAATTATTCATACATTCGGATCGCATTCGTACATTCGATTTACTTTTTCATTCAATTAAGTCACATTCATTAATTCAAACATGTTTTCATACAAAACATTTTTAGCCATTCAAAAAAAAGTGCCTTAAAGCAAATTGCTCGAACTTCCCGTACCGAAAACTAAATTATAAAAAAAAAACTTTGCAAAACTTCGAAAAAATTAGATTTTTGAGAAATTTTAAATTTTTTGAAAAAAAAAAATTTTTGAAAAATTTGATTTTTTTTTTATATTTTGATTCTTTTGTATTTTAATTTCTTTTGAAATTTTTGAACAATTTTTTTTATAAAATTATATATTAAAAATATTAATTATCTCAATTTTTTTCTTTCCAGCATGCCCAACATCGGCGGATCCCTACACAGGAATATTCCCTTACGAATGCATCGTAATTTAAGAAAAAAATTAATTTTAAAATTTATAATATAATTTGACACAAAATTACTTATTACAAAACTGCCGAGTGCCAAAATTATTGTAATCATAATTTGTGTATAAATAGAAATAATTAATTTAAATGAATTTAATACAAAAACAATACATATGTATGTACTTCCAACTGAAGACCAAAAATATATGCCAAAATATATAAACACAATTAGAATTGACTCATAATTTTCGTTTCTTGAAAAATAACAATTATAAGGGAATCTTCAATAATTTAGTCTATAATTTTCATAATCTCGTACGATATATTAGTTGCTGTTTAGTCATTATAATTTTGAAAGCTCATTTTTCTTACTAATAATTTAATAAGCATTATTACTTTAGTTAAAATCTTAGGTGAATTAATTTGTTAAATCTAGTTCATATGAGCACTCTTCAATCTAAAATCAACTTGCTAAATATTCCATATCCAATGCCAAACAAATGAATTTTTAGACACGTGAAACAAAATTCTGAAACATTTTTTCAATAAATAGAAATATTTTTTTGTATTGTTAAATAATTTAGTAAAGTAAACTAAAATTCGACATGCTAAGTTTAAAAAACGTAAGTTCGTGTTCTATGTTAATAAAAAAAATATATTTTAAATCTAATTTCAAGTAAAAACTGATATTACATTAGTATTCAATATCAAGTCCTTCGAGGTAAGAATAAAACCAGAAACCATGTACATGCAAGATCAAAGCCCTGACCACAGAGCTACCACAATGTCGTCATTTATCATAATAAAAATAATATTTTAGATTGAAGAATGAAGTGAAAACTGATATCACTGTTACTCGATATCAAGTTGTTCTAGACGAGAACAAATCCAGGAACCATGTAGCTGCAAGACCAAAGCTCTGAGAACACAGAGCCACGACAAGCTTGTGTTTTATCATATTAAAGATAATATTTTAAATCTAAAGTTTCAAGTATATACTAATATCACAGTATTCGATATCAAGTCCTTTGAGATGAGAATAAAACCAGAAAACCATGTTGCTGCAAGACCAAAGCCTTGACCAAAGAGCCACCAAAAGCTCGATTATTATCATAATAAGAATAATATTTCAAATCTATACTTTTGAGTGAAAACTGGTTTCACTAGTACTTCATGTGAAGAACTTCGAAACAAGAACAAAACCATAAACATTGTTCGTGCAAGACCAAAGCCTTTACACAGAGCCACCGTAAGCTTGTGTTATTAATATTTTAAATCTAAAGTTTCAAGTAAAAACTCGTTTCACTAGTACTTGATATCAAATTGTTCGAGATGAGAATAAAACCAGAAACCATATCGCTGCAAAACTAAAGCTCTGAGACCACAGAACCACAACAATCTCGTTTTTTATCATAATAAAAATAATATTTAAGATCTATTCTTTTGAGTGAAAACTGGTTTCACTAGTACTTGATGTCAAGTTGTTCAAGACAAAGAATAAAATCAAGAACTTTGTAGATGCAAGACCAAAGAGCCACCACAAGCTCGTTTATTATCAAAATAAAAATAATATTTTAGATCTATAGCTTCAAGTAAATACTGATATCACTAGTACTTGATATCAAATTGTTCGAGATGAGAATAAAACCAGAAACCATATCGCTGCTAAACTAAAGCTCTGAGACCACAGAGCCACTGTAAGCTTGTATTTATCACAATAAAAATAATATTTTAGATCGCTTCAAGTAAATACTGATATCATCAGTATTCGATATCAAGTCCTTCGAGATAAGGATAGAACTAGGAACTTTGTAGGTGCAAGACCAAAGTTTTATCATAATAAAAATAATATCTTATATCTATTCTTTTAAATGAGCACTCGTTTCATATATACTCGATGCTAAGTTTGGGACAAGAATAAAACCAGAAACCATGTAGGTCTCGAAAGGCCAAATCCATGACAACAGAGGCACCACAAGCTCATGTTTTGAGATAATAAAAATAATATTTCACTACTTCTCAATATCATATTGTTCGAGACTAGAACAAAACCAGAAACATTGTAGGTACAAGACCAAAGCTCTTAGGCAGAGCCACAACAAATAATAAAAATAATATTTTAAATCTATAGTTTTAAGTAAAAAATGGTTTCAATATATCAAGTCCTTCGATATGAGAAGATAACGAAGACCCTTGTAGGTGCAAAGTCCTGATCACAAAGCCACCACAATCTCGTGTTTTATCACAATAAAAAACAATATTTTAAATCTATACTTATAAGTGAAAACAGGCTTCACTACTCCTCGATATAAAGTTGTTTGAAATGAGAATCCTTGTAGGTGCAAGACCAAGGCACTGACCATAGAGCCACAGCCAGCCTTTGTTTTATCATATGCTAGTTGATATATATATATATATATATAAAATACATACACTTTTCATATATATATACAAATTATAATTATAATCATCATATGACCGTTGTCATGATTCATACATATTTTCTATTTTACTGTATTTATCTTATGAGTAAACTTTGCAACAATATTTAGTTATTTACCATTATTCATAAATATTAAATTACCTTAACATTGAAGACATTGAGTAGGACCAAGACATTTCAGCTTTCTGCAAACAACTTACACAACTCACACACCATTTTTAATAAACCGCACTTTCACAAGATGTTTTTAACCAGTGTCAAGGAGCACATAAATATCCGTTCGAAATACTAAATTTAAGACAAGTTTTTTGCACAATATTTTTGTCTATTGTAAAAGACGTCAAGCACGCACGTGGTCGACTGACATAACCAAAGAAAAATAAGGACATAAGCATAAGGACATAACCATGCAAACCAATATGAACATATCTAATATACCAATATTGTCCTGGATGCCAATATTCCACCAAAAAAAAAACTGGACAATATGGTATTTTTATGGCGCCCACATTTAAATGAGCAATTGGCGATACTTAGTTGGCACATGTATTTGAAAATTGTTGAAAATTAGCAGTCCATTCGATGGATAAAAAAAAATACTAAAAAGAAAAACATTCTTTATCAATTAAACTTGCATTATCCAAATCACCCAAGTGTACTAAAATCACAGTCAAAAAAATACAATTTACAATTATTAATTGTAGATGGAGAACCTTATTATTAATGTATTTCATCTCACGTTATATGTACTTTCATTAATGTACGTATTATTGTATTTTAGACTGCTGAATGATGACACACATCAAGTGTCAAAACGTCTAATTAGTGATTTTTTTTTTCGTTTTTTATTCGACGAATAGACTGCTAATTATTTTCAAATATGTTTCAACACGAAAGAAACTATCATGATATATATGCATATATATTAGGTTGGTCTTTAATATGGATATTTTCGAAAAAGTTTGGCTTCCAAGGGCTTAAATGCTTCCAAAATGATAAAAAAAAATCTGAAAGTTTCAGTTTTTAATATTTACTTTGAGGTAGTCCGCAACCCAACTAAACTTTCTTATGGAAATAACATTCTAACTTAGTGACAAGTGAATCGAAATTTTGAGAATGACATTTTATTTGCTTATTTTGATCATAATAAAAAACTTACAACATGATGTATTTTATAAAAAGTAAATACTCATTTTATAAAATACATCAAATTTTTGTTGTTAGTGAGAAGAACCAAGAAACTTTGGTTGGATTGAAGGGTTTTCAGAGAATTTTATTATCAATTCGAGAATATCCATATTATATATATATATATATATATGCTTGAATGTTGATTTTCAGCCAATGAAAAAACACGAAGGCACACGAAGATGTTGTGGAAAGGGTTTCAAGGAAATTCTTTTGATCTATAATATATTTTAAATTTAATTTTTTAAACTTTGTAAAAATTCTTTTAGATACCGTAAAAAATTTCAAAAAAAAAAAGGTTGAATGATCACAGACAACCGTGTCGAAACGTATAAATAAATATTTTATTATTCATTTGTTTTCTTTTATTTCGACCCAACGTCGAACAAAAAAAATCTAAATCTTATAGATATTTGTTAAAATCTGTGGTATGGGATTTAATTTTGGGTCATACAATAAAATCACAGCATTTTTTAACTACATCACCAAATTTCTGATAAATCATCTCATTCATGCAAAAACGCAAACTAACTTTCTTTCATACCCCATGCGGGTGCACAAAATGAAACAGTCATTTCGAATATGAAATGATAATTTTTATTGGTCAAAAATCATTTATGCCTCGAAATAGAGATCAAATAATTATACAAAGTCAAGTGATGATAGATAATACAAAAATTATCTGCAACTTTTAATTATAACAGCAGTAACCTCTTTATGATTTTACACAAATATGTATATTTTGTATTACTTTTTTTTCTTAAATTTTTAATAAATAATATTAGAGATGACTTTTGTCAAAGCAAAACTCAATACACAAATGTCCAAGTGAATAAATTATATAATCTGTTAAATATTACCCAGTAACATTGCTTACATTGATATGACTTACAAAACAAAACCAAGGAGAAATGAAACAAAAACACTACAATCCAAAAATGACGGACAAAGAGTTCTTGGGTGTTAAGACATTTTTTTTCATTATGTAATTTATTCACGAATAACGCGGTATTTTGGTTGTTGTTTTTTTTTGTTCTGGTATGCCAAAAAAGCAGCGACGAATTTAATTTTTGGTTTTCCATTACGATGCCATACATAAACAAAATTGCGTTTGCATCAGAAATCAAAATAACTGATCACTGTTTTGCTGCATATCACATTTTCTCTAAAAAATTCATTTTTTTCATATTTTTACTTAGTCTTATTAGTTTAAACCATTTATGTCATATTTTTTGAGCGGATATTTATCTCATCAATCCTCCCAATCCTTAAATAAAGCCTTTTAATTCATTTTTTCTGTGAGATAAGGATGTTGGTAAGAGTCTCTAATTTAAGACTTTTGCCATTTTTAATTTTTGGACATCATTTTTAGGAACTCAAGATTTTTCTTTTTTTCTACTTCTGGATAATCATTCTGGGATTACACCAGGTTGTCTGGGTTGACGTGCAGATGATTGGAATCCTTTAGATCCATCGGGGCCTTTAGGTTGTCTGGACACTGTTAGGCGAGGTCCAGTCTCTTCAAGGGAACTTACTCGAAGACGAGAAATCAAACGTTCGGGTCTGGCTTGAATGTCTGTCACCTGAAAAAAATTAACACATTAAAATATTAAGTGCAAAATAATAAAACTCGTTTTCCGTGTGAAGCCAAACTCCGATGCAGGACGAACCACAGGAAACAGAGAAAATGTTCGTGGAAACTAAGTTTTTGGAGCCTATTTGTAACGCACTTTGAACGGGACGGGTATTAGTACCCGTCTAGTATTATGAAAAAAAAAAACGCTACATATGCCTTTACGGGAACCCACTAAGTTAAAAACAAGCACGGTTAACTTAATAACTATTATATATTAAATTTGATAATAAATCTCTTAATTGTGTATGTGTTATGTCTTTAAATATCTTTTTATGACATACCTGTAAATTTCATAATAAAAATAAATTCATAAATTTTTGTTCCCCGTTTATTATAAACTAGTTGTTTATATTGATAGATTTTTTAAAATAAATAGATTTTTTAAAATTAAAAATTTATCAGTTTTAAATTAGAGAGAAAAGATAAGATCGCATTTAAATAAATATCACATACATATACATATACCACTAATACTAAATTTAGCAAATTGTTAAAATACATCGCAATAATATCATTGAAATATATTATTATAAAAATAACTAGTGGTGAATGGCATCGTGCCTTAAGGCAAATTGCTAGAACATCCCGTACTAAAAATTATTTTTTTTAAAAAAGATTCAATTTTTTTTGGACTCTGAAAAAAAAACGATCTTTGAGGTTTTTAAAATAAAAAAAAGGCCTTTTTGAAAAATTTGATTTTTTTAATATTTCCCCACGTCGCAGTATAACGGATAAACTTTGGTACTGAACCCACAGAAATGTGAACAAAATTTGTTATCACTAACCCTTTCCACTCGAATGCCGACGCTTCAGCGGCAAAATTCATATAAATCCCGGAATTAGCGAGTGGAAAGGGTTAAAATGTCTATATAATATGTGATAATTTGATGTGCATATGTCTAATGATAATTTTTGTCGGCCAAATGGCATTTTTTTTCACTTTTTTACAGTATCAGTTCTTCATTTCGTCAATACAAATAAAATGTTTTTTTGAATCATACAAATCGGAAATACGTTCTCTCAAAACGTCGATTTTTATTTTTTGCACTCTTTGCTCCAAACCTCCGAAACGGCTGGACTTGCTTTTACCACATCTCCCTATCAATAAGAATCGAATGCTTTTTGAATCAATCAAATCGGTTGACATGTGCGCCCGAAAATGTGGACGAAAAATTGCGGACACACAAAACACACACATCCATTTTTTCTGAGGTATGCCAAAGTGTTCAGAAGCCTCTAAAACGTTAAAATATGGCAAATATTTTTATTTTCGATTTTTTTGCGGCTACTATAACTTACCCTACGGGAAGTATAGTATGAAGTATATATAGCAATTATAACATACTCTAATAATTATTTGATAAATAATATTTCAAAATAACAAATGTATGTCTATAAAAATATATTATATGATCGCTACAAATATTACGCCACGATAAAAATGTACAAATTACAATAAAAAAAACTCCAGCGACATATCTTCAGCTGTGTTCATACTTTGAATAACTCTTTCAAATTCCGCTACGGGGATCATTTGCCCCAATATTTGAAATCTGACGATTATAAAATAGTGAATAACACATATCTATTTACATACATCAACACAAACTAAGCGCACAATTTATTGAAATACAGCAGTACCCCGTCTTACGACCTTAATTCGTTCCGTAAGCACGTTCGCATGTTGAATTGTACGTATCTCGAAGCAACTTTTTCCGCAGAAATAGATTAAAATGCTATTATTTCGTTTTTAGTGTTTTTTATCAATGATAGCATTTGTTGCTAAGATCAAATACACATTCTGTAGAAACATAGCAAATTTCTAAATAAAAATTGACTAAATAATCATTATATTAGTTGTTGAGTTTAATTTTTTCTTTAAAGTATTGTGAAAATGAGCTAGTCATGTCTCATCAAACAACCCTGATGTTCGACCAGCTGCATCTTATTAATTTTTAGCCCCGAAGGTTTCATTATTTTCCCACATTGCACAAACAAATGCATAAAATGTATAAAATTAACATCAAAATAATTTAATTTTAATATTTGTATGATAGTTAAATAACATTTCACATACGAAAATCCTCGTTACAATTGCTAATAAATGCAATGCAAATTTTGCACATATAAAGATGCAAACGAGCCGCTCGTATCTCGAAAGAAACGTATGACGAGTCGCTCGTAAGGCGGGGTACCACTGTATTCATACTGATTTCAACGCTTACCTTAACAACATTGCACGCAGATGACTTTCCACTTCTTTGGTTTGTGATCAAGGCAAATTCCACGGTATCGCCTTGTTGCAATTGAACACCATCTTCAACTTCTGACATGTGAAAGAATAACTTCTTTCCTTCTTCTACTTCATAGGCCAAAAATCCAAAAAGTCCTACAAAATTAAAAGAAACATGTAAAAAATTGAACTTTGAAATCAAAATATATCTGAAAGAGGTTTATGCTACCTTTGATGGCGTCAACAGTAGCCCTTCGCTTCTTTCTCAGAGCTGTTACTTCAGTAGCTCTGCCTTCCGTGTCAACTCTTAAAGTGACTGGATCGCCGTTTTGTAGCAGATCGCGTTTATTACTTAGACCAGTTATTCCAAATTCATAGCTTTCCTTGTCTCCATTCTCTGATACCACCTGAAAAAATGTCAAACAACAATTTTAATGATAATTACTTCATTTAAAAAAAATTTATGTGCCCATAATTATGAAAGTGGTCTAAGTCATATATTTCTTGTTTTGAGATAATTAATGAATTTCATTTGAATAAATTAAAAAATATTTTTACATTATGCGACATTTTAATTTTTAATTTTATTAGTCTTAATTAATGGAAATTTATTAAGAATATGAAATTTTGTGTGAATTTCATATGATAATATTGTTTTTAAAGTTTGAATTGACTTAGACCATTTTCAAAATTAACTGAATGTCCTATAAATGACTTAAAGCAATAAAGAACTTTAAGTTTTATTTGAAACAATAATTTTATTGAAATAATTCGTGAGCATTTATTAATTATATTTAAACGGTAATCCATTTTTATCATTATTTCGAGTATTTAAGATTCTTAAAATGTTCTTGAAAAACTGGAGGGATGTACGGTAGTAAACTCATAATATCTTCCGATACTGGTCTAATGCTGGTGTATAATGGAAGTAATTTAATATTTCCGTATATTTTTGGTCTTCCTCTTTTAGGTGAAAGATCCAAAACATGAAATATTGAATCATCTAAAAAAGTTTTATAAAACATTTTATAAGGTTCATTTTTCAAGAATCTCATCCATTGAATTTGTAGCCAAGAGACAGATTCGCCCGCGGTATTTTTTACTCTTCTTGTTATTGTATCTTCTAATGATTTCGTTGAAATAAAATCCGGCTGCGACATTCGCTATATCGAAAATGTATTGCTTCTTCTGCACTTTTTTATCAATTCATAATAATGCTCAGGGTTGTATAAGTAATTTGCTTTTTTTTATTTTCATTTCTATCAACCCAAAATCACGATCATTCGGTAGAAAGGAATGACCTGATACCAAAAATTTTCAAGATGTTTATATAATTTCTTTAAATTTTTGACTTTGAATTCCATATAATGTTGAAATTACAACCACTATCTAGTGGTACATTTTTGACAATTTCGTAAAAATTATATTGTATACATTTAGTTTAAACTAATGGGGTATGAAATAACTGATAAACTCTTTTTTTTTTAATTTTGACTTAGACCACTTTCATAATTATGGGCACATATATCAAATTTTATTAATAATATCATCATTACCTGTATCAAACCAGAATATTCATTCTGGTCTGGGTTAACAGATCTCAAAGGCCTGGTAACAGTACCATTCAGCAAAGGACCGGTGCCTTCCGGCAGTGGTATTGATCCTCGAGCAATAGTTCTAACATTTTCTGCAGAACAGCAACTACCAGAACCACTACCTCCATTGGAACCACGAGGTGCTAATATGTATTCTACTTCTTGGCCTAAATCTAGGTTTGATGTGTCGCCTTCAAAATTGCTAGAAAAACAACAAAAAATTAGTAAAAAATCTTTAGCATTTAAGCAGAGCTGCAATTATATTTTGAAAGTACCTGAAATGGAAAAACACTTCTTTATCATGCGAAATGGTCTCGATAAAACCAAAACCATCCTTCAAGGCTGCTACAAATCCTTGGCATAACTGGCCGTTGCTTAAAGACTGACGTCCATTTTTAGAGACACCATTGCGCAATGAGGTGCTTGATTGTGAAGTTGAACTACTGCTGCTTGACGAGACAGTTGAACCGTTAAAGCTGTGGTTTGATGACTGGTTACTAATGGCAGTTACTACAACATCTGTTGCTATCAGTTCTTTATTACGCTTAACCTGAGGAAGAAAAAATTCACGTACATCATAAGCTGATCAAATAAATTTATATTATTCAAAAACAATCATTATGCTCAGTCTATATATATTGTCACCAGTGATAATTCTGACGCAAATTACCCAATAAGTAACATCACAGAATAATAATATCATACATTTGTCTTACAAAATATAATCCTCACCTGACTAATGTTGAAATCAACTTTATCACCCATTCTAGGTTGCCGATCACAATCTTTTGCAAAGAAAGGAACTGATTTCTTTTGGCCATTGCTTTGGTAAGAAATCATGCCCCCTTCTGGAACAGGAGGCCCGCCGTTTTGTGTTGGACCGCCGTTTTGAGATTTGCTAGGGCTTCTTGGAGAGGCTTCCCTAGTCACGACTCCCGTTAGATTTGATTCGATTAGGGTTTCGAATTTTACAGTACCTGAAAAAATCATATTCATGGTAATAATTATATTAATCTTATATCTTCTTATATATAAAAATTAATTGCAAAATGTGTTGGTAAGCGCATAACTCAACAACGCCTGGACCAATTTGGCCAATTCTTTTTTTAAATGTTCGTTGATATCCAAGGATGGTTCTTACGGCGAGAGAAAATCGAATAATTGCCGGGAAAACCCTAAAAACAGCTCTTTCTTTTTTTCATACGAACGTTTTCGAACTAAAACGTAGAATCAATTTGAGCTTTATTGCTATTATATAAAGTTCATATCAAATTACAAGCACTCACTGTATACTCCTTCTAAACGATTATTCGGATTTTGATAAATCTTTCTGAGGTTTGATAAGGAAATTTTCCAGGATGTATGTGATTATAAAGTACTGGGATGTATGTGCAATATTGTAGAAATAAATGGCAAAAATTGCAAAATTCACATGTCAATGTTTGAATTGAAAACAAATGAAAACTATCATCTGCCAAAAATTTCAAATTACTTATGAACCTAGACAATATTAGAATATGTACAATAAATTTACGATTATTAATAAGTTGCGCATATGAATAAGAAAAATGAAATGTCTACATTATTATTTGCCAAAAAGCAGCTGAGATGTGCCAGAAATTAAAATAATATAAAATACAGTATTTGTATGGCAGATTGAATGATACACATATGAACAAGATATGACAAATTAATTCACTTAAAATATGAAATTAAGTATTAATCAGGGCCGGTCCTACCTTTAATGCGATGCATGCGAAAAATACGAGCGCACGTCTTAGGGGGCGCCAACACAAGATTCCGATATTAAATTTTCAATATAGTTTTTTTTTCGATATATAATTTCTTTGCAACTTTTACTAATCTTTCGACAATATTTTTAAAATTCGTAAAAAATTCACTTTATAACAATAAATGTGAAAGTAAAGATGAATACATACAATTCGGCCCTCACGATATCGATTAGGAGAAGTTTAAGATGCAATTTTGGATATCTTAAATAAAAAAAAAATTAAATTTATTTAATCCAACATGAAGTACCAGTGTTATGTTATGGTTGTGGTTATGTTATACTGTTTAAAATACTTCAATTTCCAATATAGTGTGGGAATTGAGACTCATCATTTTATTTAAAGCAGTTCTACATTTAACATCGCTCATATTATAAATGTATATGCATTTTGGCGTGAAGAGTAATTTAAAAAACAATAATTATTATTTTTAGGTAAGTGGTAAATATTATTATATTATATTAAAAAATTGTAGACATGGATACAGAACAACGTCTGTCGGGTCATCTAGTTAATTATATATATTTATGCCATTATTATTCATATAATAAATTTCACTTACCCGGAGGTAAATGTTTAATCCTTATAGCGCTGTGTCTAAAATTAGCAAAAGAGCTATTAGGATCTTGTACTGCTGTGAATTCCACTTCGTCTCCCATGGAGATCTCTCTCGTCACATCCAAAACCTCGGTAAAGTGGAAGAATAGTCTTGGCTCTCTCTCTGCACAACGAAGAAAGCCAAAACCATCCTTCAAGGCCACTACCACACCCTGATCTCTACGTTCGCCGGACACAACAAAGGACTCGTCCAGGAGTGAAATGGAAGTGGCTCTGCGTAGCTGATCACGTCGATCTGTCGCCAATTGGAATTGGACCCAGTCACCATGACGAAGAGTGAAATCGCCTTTTTGATCTTTATCACCAAATGGTACCTGGAAAAAAAATATGAATCAAATCAAATGAATTGTAATACTAATGGTGAATGGCATCGTGCCTTAAGGCAAATTGCTGGAACTCACCATACCCAAAACTAAATTATTAAAAAAAAACTTTGCAAAAACATGAAAAAATTAGATTTTTGAGAAATTTTGAATTTTTTTAAAAAATTTGACTTTTCGAAAAAAATGATTTTATATTTTGTTGTTTTTGTATTTTGATTTTTTTAATATCAATTTAAACGTTTTTTTGAGCAATCCCGCTGCATGGCTGATTTGAAGTCGAAATGACAAAGCGCGTAAACGCCGCGTGGTCGTCTAGCGTGTGAACATTAGTACGGAATCCATATATATGTACACAAAATTGGTACTTATTATTATAATTTTTATAAAATTCGTGATAATACGATGTACATACGAGGTCTGTTCAAAAAGTACACGGAATTACTAATAATTAAATTTCGCGGGTCTGGAGTGTCTGATTGTCAAAATTTTTTTTTTTATTGTGTTGGTATACATGCCCCTAAAGTATGATGAAATTTTCAGCTATATTCACTGTTTACTTTGTCTGTGGTAGTCGCTAAGGTTCGACGTGTTTTTCTGAGCTCGGCGATTTTTACAATGGAAGAATTGAAAAGTCAAAGAATTTGTATTAAATTTTGCGTAAAAAATGAAATAAAGTGTTGCAAAGTGCAAAAATTCACCAGATATGGCTCCGTGTGACTTTTTCCTAGTCCCAAAGTTGAAGAGACCCATGAAAGGACTACGGTTTTCCTCGATTGAAGAAAATCGCTGAGAGTGCTCAAGGACATATCAAAAAGTGAATATCAAGGGTGCTTCGAAAATTGGAAAAAACGCTGGCATAAGTGTATTATATCTGGGGGGACTACTTTGAAGGGGACCACATTAATGTAGACGAATAAATAAATATTTTTATGAAAAAACGAAAATTCCGGGTACTTTTTGAACAGACCTCGTATGTCTAATGTTCATTTTTGACTCCCATATAGCATTATTTTTTAACTTTCCGTAGGGTAAGTAATAGTAATCGCAAACAAATCGAAAATGAAATTTTTTATATATCTTTACGTTTCAGAGGTTTTTGAACATTTTGGCATACCTTAGAAAAAATGAATGTATATGTGTGTGTGTGTGTTGACGATTTCGGGAACACGTTTCAACCGATTTTAATAATTCAAAAAACATTTTACTTGTATTGACAAGATGAAAACTGATTAAATTTCCATGAAGGCGGGTCTAGTGGTTCCGGAGATCTAGTGAAAAAAGTAAAAAAAATGCCATTTGGCGGTCAAAAATGATCCTTAGATATGTGCACATAAAATTATCAGATATTTTATAGAGATTTTAACAATAAGTATAAATTTTGCTTACATTCCTATGGGTTCCGTACCAATGTTTATTCGTTAGACGGCGTCGCGGCGCTTACGCGCTTCGATATTTCGTCTGTATGCAGTTAAAGCAGTACGATTGCTTCGAAGAAAAGTTCAGAACTTCCAAAATATTTCAAAATAAAGAAAATATTTTTTTTCAAGAAGTCTTTTTTTCAAAAATTTATAGTTTCTCAAAAATCTGATTTTTTCAAAGTAATTTTTTTTCAAAAATGTTAATCTTTTTTAAAAAAAATGCACTGCTGTGTATATGATATAGAACAATTACCTCTACTTCAGAATGATCAGGAGCCCTATATCTGATCCTGCCTGGTAGGGGATCACTCTGATGTCTCTGCCCTGTGCCCCGATCTAACGGTTTTAAAACTTGGCCCTTTGTGATATCTGGATCTACATCTTCAAACACAACTGTTCCTGGTGGTAGCCGAACAATATTGCATGCAACTTCTTTACCCTAAAACAGAAATAACAAATATAAACTACATATTTCTTATCTCCCAGCTATGTTTATTTTTTTTAAACTTACATTTCTTGTTAAAATGATAAATTCCACATCATCTCCAGGCCTAAGTTCTTCGGATGTTTTGGCTTCAGAAAAGTGGAAAAATATTTCTTTGACTACATCTGCTCGTTCAATAAAACCAAATGACTCTTTCATAGAACACACAACACCCCTGTACAAAACTGGATGAGCCGGGTTCTCTAACCGGACATGGCAAGCACCCAAATTACCACTGTAAAAGATAATAGTAAATATTGAAAAAATTAAAAGAAAAAATATAGATGACTAAATGTAGACCGATTTTGCCGCATAACAAACCAATGTTATGGCAAGGCTATGTTATGAAAAACTTTCCATACTAATTCGTTCTAAATATTGTCAAAAGCCATGTGGTTGCTGAGCAGTCAGGCGTTTTTCTCAGGTTGTCAGATAGAAAATCTAACTTAGAAACCGCACAAATGTCACTAAAACGATCTTAGATAACAAGGTGTTTCTGACTCAGCTTCATAACATACAAGTGACGTTGCAATTTATATGTAAAGCGCCTGAATGCACAGCAATTACATGACTTTTTGACAGCATTCAATATATGATTCAATAGCATAATGTATGCAAGTTGGAGCATAACATGGCCTTGCCATAACATTTGTGTGTTGTGAGCCTGAATCAGCCCATAAATCAATAGTCATCTTCAAAATGTAAGAACTTTTTGTCCTTAATTATTTATCCTTAATTATTGTAGAATTCTTTATCACCAATTTAACATCTGTGCAAGACGGAATTCAAAATAAATATTGCAAATATCTATTGCTCTCAAACATATTTATGTTCATACTGATAATAAATCCGTAACCAATAAAATAAATATTTCAGGCTCTTATCAAAAAAATTGTTGATCAAATATAATATAAAAAGTATGTATATATATATAATGATAAAGTATGATTTATTCTAAAAGTGATATTATGATTTACATACCGTTGATTTGTTGCGATCTGAAACGAAACCTTGTCTCCACTTCGTAGAGTGACATTGCCCTCAACATCGTCCTTGGTATAAGGCAAGAAAAAGCATTCGCCCCTGTTCTCATATGAAATTCGGCCCTGTGTGTCGCCAGATCCTTCAGTCCTTAATTCAGTTGTTACATTACCAGTGACTCGTTCCTCGCTTAAAACCTGGGTGAAAAAATCGAAACAAATCAGAAAAAAGTTGTAATTTGGAATTATACAAATCTTTAATAAAAATAAAATACAGTAAAAATGTTTAATTATTCATCAACGGGCACTCAAATACAGTGGTACCTCGACATACGAGATTAATTCGTTCCGTAACCATGCTTATATCTTAAATCGCTCGTATCTCAAAGCAATTTTTTGAAATACCATTATTTCGTACCGGAATATTAAAAAATTTACCATTTATTAATTTGATCTTTATTTTTTTTGTCTATTCATGATATTGTGGAGTTTATACCCTTATCAAGCACAATATATATCTATGATGTACATCTGGGTCATCCACATATTTTTCAATAATTTCAAACTTGAATTTAAGAGACATGGCCCTTTTCTTTAGACTATGGTTATAAAAGTTCTTAATATTTTTTAAATGTACAAAAAACCAAAAAAAAAAACGCGTCACAATCACTAGACAAATTCATGTGATTAAAACGTTACTACCCCATTATTAATAATAGAAAATTAAAATGACTAACTATAAAATAATTTACTACCACACGACAGCCAAAATATTTCTAGGGTGAAAAAATCATTGTAACAACCGATAAAATTGTTCATATTTTCATTTTGCAATTAACATTTTCTAAAAAAAACTCTTACTCGCTCAAAACTAGAATTATATCGAATTTTGCTCGTATGTCGAAGCAACAAATCGCTCTTTTGGCGACTCGAATCTCGAAACACTCGTATGTCGGATCTTTCAAATTTTGTTTCTCGAATTTTGCTCGTATATCGAAGCAACGTCGGGTCGCAATCTAATGGAGTGGGGTGAAGGCATGGCATCATGCCTTAAAACTCTTGGTACGGAACCCAAAAAAATTTACACAAAACGTGTACACATTATTGAAATCTGTAATAAATATCTGATAATTTGATGTACATATGTCCAATAAACATTTTTGACCCCCCTATGACATTTTTTAACTTGTTTTTATTGAAAGCCCATAACCGCTAGACCTGCCTTTCGAAAAATTTAATCAGTTTTTTTATCTTGTCAATACAAGTTTTTTGAATTAGTAAAATTTTTGCCCCGTATCTTCTGAACGGCTAGACCTGCCTTCGCCAAAAACAAATAAGCACGTCCCTTGTCAATACGAATCGAATGTTTTTTGAATTATTCAAATCAGATGATCCGTGTTCCCGAAATCGTGAACGAAAATTTGTATCCGCGCATACACGCCCACACATACATCAATTTTTTCTAAGGTATTTAAGGTATTTTTTCTAAGGTTCAAAACTTTTGAAACGTAAAGACATATACAAAATTTCATTTTAGATTTTTTTGCGATTACTACAACTTGCCCTACTCAAAAATCTCTCAACGTACAATTATTTTAAAATTATAACTTATAAATAACATGAAATACGGCTAGAAGATGCTCCCAAATTTTTTGGTACAGGTATTTGGATTAAAATAAAAATATATAGAAAATTTGTAACTACAATAATTTTTACAAACTGTACCCTCCCTGCCTTGATTAGGAAACAAAACGTACAAGAAATTTGGAAGCATCCTTTTAAACAAATATGGAAAATGGATTAAAAAACGAATTATAAATAAACTTTAAAACTATTTTATACAAATTAATCCATTTCCCTGCGTCTATTATCTCCTTGAATCTCAAAACACTAGCATGTAAGATCTCTCAAAGTTCGTTTCTCGAATTTTGCTCGTATGTCGAGGCAACGAATCGCACTTTTGGCGACTCGTATCACGAAACACTTGTATGTCGGGTCGCAATTACAATACCAAAACATCTCTTAATGTACGTTTAATATAAAGTTATAACTTATAAATAACCTAAAATATGGCTAGAAGATGCTCCCAAATTTTTGTACGCGTATTGGATTAAACAAAAAATATATAAAAAATTGCAACTACAATAATTTATACAAACTGTACCCTCCTGTCTTCGTTTAGAAAAGGAAACGTACAAGAATTTGGAAAGCATCTTTTAACCCTATATAAAATGGATTAAACTCGAGTTAAAATTAATTTTAAATCTATTTAAA